ACATATAACCCAAGAAGCTTTTTAAGCTGAAATCATCATTAAGTCCATTTGGTGTCATAGTAAGAACATTTCTCTCTGAGCCAGTCTCTTTAGGATGTAACCTCCTCTAGTGGTCATCATGACTTTTTCAATCCCACAGAACTTCAGAGAAGAAGGTGAACCGTGATTGGCTTCAGCATAATGCTTTGCAATTGCGTAGTCCATGTTACCTGTGCGAATTGCAGTTTTGTGTTCTGATATTCGTTGTTTGAGGGGTCTTTTAGTTTGTCCGATGTATGAGAGATCACAGGGACATGACAGCATATAAATCACGTGGGTTGTTTTGCAGTTTATAAATCCTCAAATGGGAATTTTCTTTCCAGTGTGGGGATTGTTGAAGGATTTAGTAATTGTAGTATTATTGCAGCAGGCACAATTACCACATCTAAACATGCCAGTTGTAGAAAGCCACATGGTCTTGTTTTGAGTCATATGTTTGTACATGACAATGTTTTTAATAGTTGGTGCTCTCCTGAATGAAACCAGGGGTGGACATTTACAGAAGTCCTTCAGAGATGGTTCCGCTTGGAGCACGTGCCAATGTTTCTTCAGAGTGGCTTTTATTTGTGAGGCACAGTGTTTGTGTTCAGTAGAAAAACAAGCCTGATTTGAATTCTTTATTCTTTGGGTATTACGTAGATAGGAGATTGGAGCGAGAGGTGATGTCAGCTCTGTGCATGGCTGTCTGGATAGAGCTGGAGGGATATCCTTTTTCCATGAACTGAGAAGCCATGATGTTTTTTTTTTTGGAATTAAAGTCCTCAGGGTCCGAACAGTTGCGTTTGAGCCTCAAAAACTGCCCAACTGGGATGTTATCTTTCAAGTGTTTAGGATGATTGCTAGAAGCATGCAATATTGAATTGCGTTCCATCTCCTTTCGAAAAATAGAAGTGTGAATTGTTTCAGTTTCCTCTTTGTGTATAGTTAAATCCAAATAGTTGATTTTAGCAGTGCTTTGTTCACAGGTGAATTTCAAGAAACTTGAACTGTTATTGAGGTATGACACAAAGTTAATTAATTCTCCCTGTGTCCCATCCCAAAGCAACAGGATGTCATCAGTGTACCATTTGTATAATTTTATCTTTGAGTGATATGGATTATTGTTGGGGTCATTTACAACAGTTTCTTCCCATCTTCCCACAACCAATCCAGCCACAGAAGGTGCTGTTGCTGTCCCCATTGCAGTCCCAGCTTGTTGGAGGTACCAGTTGGATTCATA